GTTGCAGGGAACGTGTCTACAGAGCTGTGGAAAACTCCTGTTGTTCCCTGTGCCTCTGGCTGCTGCCTTCGTTTCCTGATGCAGTGCAAGCCATCAGGCTGATCATGCGGCTGCTTCTGGTTCCGTTTTTTCATGTTTAAATATATTTTCAAGCCCATATATTATATGTAGTGTGGCTTCGCTATGTTGGCTCAGGTGGTTAGGAGCCTCATTCCATTCCTTTGCAGTCTTCCTTTCCGAGGTAAGTTGTTACGTAATTTGTGCCTTGAAGGTGTGCGCTCAATTAGTAACCGTTCGTTCTGGAATGGATTAGATGAGGGGTAAAATAACCCCGAGTGTGTTGTAGGTGGGAACAGTCCCCCAAGCTATTTCTCAAAGGAGAGCTGTCTAGGGAAGTGCGAGTGGTGGCTCAGGTCCACAAAGGATAGCAGTAGGGGTTCATGGGAAGACCAGATCATTTTTTGCCACATGCCCAAAAATGAACTGGAAGAAGCTCGTGTGAATGTGAGCAAGTTGCGGGGGAAGCCTGTAAGACACAGTGCCACATAGCTGAGGAGATAAATCTGTAGAAGAAACTGTTGAGGCAGATGTTTAATTAGCTGAAGTCAGGCTGGATAAATCAGGGTCGGAACTGCCTATGCAGATATGTTAGTTTGCCTGGCTTCATTATCCTTAAACCTAACTGTTCTCTTAGCTTAGTGAAGAAGAATCAAACGCAGTCACATAACCTTGCTCTTACTGTAATGGATTCCCTGATGTACACTCATAAAATAGAAAATGTAATTGATGTTTTCTTATGGTAATGAAAAATAACTGAGCAGAATGCTTTATCTTCAGTGTGTTTAACCTATCGCGTGCTCGGCAGCATGCACTGCGAACGCGTACTTCGCGCGAGGTGGTGTGCAGCGAGCTTCTGACGGAGGTCGGCTAACCCAGAGCCGGTCCACCTTGAGGGGTATTAGCAAAGCCCCCCTACATCAGCGACCTGCACCCCCATCCCTGTCTCCTCTCCCAAAGGGGAGGAAAATCGGGCAAATTGGATCAGATTCTCCTAATTCTTTATATTCCTTTGCAGTCTTCCCAACAAGGGTCCCAATAGCAGGGAAAAGAGAAAAGCTGAAGACTCCACTAGGGACTTCATTATCTATCTCTAATTTACCTGGACAGTGCTTAGATACCATGACAATGGCAGTATGGGAAATCCCAGTGTGCGCAGGTACTTCCAGGATAGTTGTGTATGTATCTTCTAGATCCAGAGTTCCTGGAAAGCAGCTTCCAGAAAACATGCACTTTCTAGCACTTAATGGATTAAGGCTCAGTTTGTGATTAAAGCAGTTCACTGACTCTCGCTGCCTTTTGCCAGGATGAAATAGAATCACTTGTTTAAAACCACGGCCATGATGGCTTCCTGTTCCTCCTGAATATGGCTCTGTTACAGTGGTTGGCAAAGGCATCTCTGTCAGTTTGGATATGCATAATAAGAGAGTTGTGAGGCTTGAAAAGTGCTCAGCGTTGGCATAATTGTACTCGCTGAAGTGTAACCACTGACTTCAGATAGAAGCAGGAGGCGGCCAACACTGGCAGCGTTTGAAAATCCCACCCCAAGATCCTCCAAAGAAAAGGCTGGAAGAAATGCAGGTGATCAGCATGTCATACAAATTCACCCGTCTCTGAGCAGCGACTGGTTAACAGAACTCAGCGTGGCGCTCCGTAGCACTGCCGCTCATTTCTGTTGCCCTTACTTGAACCCTGCTCCAGGCACGCTGGCCCAGTGATTTTTGGCTTGGAGTAGGTGCGTGTTGTAAGATCCTGCGTTGCAGAAGGGTGTGTGTTGGACCGCAGGTAGTTGTTCCAGAGTGCAGTGGAGAGGCACCTCTGCTCCAAGACCAGAGTGCTGCTGCTGTGACTGTCCTGTAGCGTTCCAGCCCACACTTTCCATTAGACAAATGGATCTTATCAATCTTTTAACATTTGGACTAAAGCCCATCTCCAGAGTTTTTGTATAAAATAGGCTTGCTGTGTTCAGAGCACAAGAAAAGGGATGGCGCTGTCCCCTGACACCTGGATGCCACGGCGATGGCCCCATAAGGAGCGTGCAGGTACAGGGGGATGTTATGTTGGTTCTGCTGGCGTTTGCAGAATACACGTCCAGGTGAGCTCTCGTGCAGCTCAAAGCGCAACCTGCTATTTGATATCCTTACTAAATGATGGCACGAGTAGGGTGGAGAGACTTCAGGTGCTGCCCTGCCCTGCCTTCTGCCTGACTTCAAACTAACACAGCTTCCCATCAAAGGCAGGGGTGGCCAACTCGCAGCACACATGCCACAAGTGGCTTGGGCAACCTCTGCATGTGGTGCACAGCCGACCAGGGAGGGGACAGGCAATACAGTGGCAGATAGGGCAGGGAACAGAAAGCAGAGCAGCAGATTGGGCACAGAAAGAGGATTAGAGTGGCACTCCAGGAAGGTGGGGCTAATTTTGTGGCATGCCTGCCAAAAAG